ATGGTTCTATTTTACTGGGATAAAGGTATGATCAAAGATGCTTTTTGTTTTGCACAAAATGCAAGTTTAAATAAGAACAGACAAGAAGAGTTTTTTAACGTAACTTTCTGATGTTGTATTTTCTTATTATATCTATTTTAACAATGCTTTGAAGTAGAACTTTAGAGATACATATTTTTGTACTATTTAAAAAACAACCAGAGCATTTAACAAGACTTTCAAGTCCTATATTATTTGTAATTAAATGAAAGTGACAATATCAGCTGTCTCTGTATGAGGGTGCTTTCGAGTAACTTGTCCATAAATATTAGTATTAGTATGCGAATTTCAGAAGGTGATATATTCTCTTCTAGTGTCAAAAGTATTTATATCTAGATCATAAAGTGAACTAAAAGAATAATTATCAGCTAAATCTAAATTCTAATTTAATACTTTATAATAAAGATCTGTAGAATTAAATTGATTGAGGAGAGCTGTTGTAAATAATTTAACTTGAAGAGACCAAAAATCTTGTAGGTTGTAATATTTGTTATTATTGAGGATAGCAGTAGGTATAGTGATGGCAAAATCAGACTTTCTTTTAAAAAGAGTCCTAATAAAACAAAAGTAAACATTACATTCACGTTCAGAAAGAGGTGTACATTGCAATCTATATTCTAAGAGTGGACAAAAGACAGCATTAACTATGTATGCAATTTGTTTATCTGTGAGAGGCTTGGGCTTCATGACTGCTGCAAAATTGTTAATATCTTTTTGGATCTGATTTTTGACATAAGTTTGAGAGTTTGAACGGTTAATCCAAATTACTAAAAATTGCATAGAATTTTGCTCAGACATGATAGTAACGTTAGAAGAACCAAAGTTGATGTTAATGAATTGAAATACAAATAATTTTGTTATAAGAAGCTTTGATTTAATTAAATCGTAAAAGTCATCTGCTATTGCAAGAATCTCTTCTAAGTTATATTAATCCAATTAGTATACCCATGAAAGCCAAAGAGAAAATGAATTCTGAAAGAGTCATAGTAGTGTTGCTGATGATGTTATTAGTCCATGTATGTAAGATTTTGTATCCTTTGTTTAAAGTATCAACTTTACACAAGAGCGGATCAACCTTCTTGATCAATACCAATTTTAACATCATAATAATCAGTAAGTCCATCAGCTGTAAAGATAGCATTTTTTCTATTAGTGAAAAGATTGATAATAAATCTATACATTTAGCAGGAATCTTAATCCGTTGTAAAACGAGACGAAAAAATTTGAAATCTACATGATCATAGGCTTTAAGAGATCTTGTAGTAGAATCCATAACTCTTTTTTATTTTCATTGGCATCTTCTAACAACATATTTAGAATTTTGATTGTTTTTCTGTAGAACCTTCAGGTAAACCAGCAAAGTTGTTACCTTTCAGGACATGGTATTTGGCGAGAATATTTGAGAGTCAATTTGAAATTATTTTAACAAATGCTTTTTGTAATATTTCTAATAAGATAATTAGACAAGTCTTAGTAATGTCATATTCCTATTCAATTGGTTTGGAAATTGGATATACATGTGCAATTTTCCATTCACTAGGAGTGTCACTAATAGTGAAACACATGCAGATTAATTGCCAAACTAAATATTTAAATTTATCATCACAAATGTTAAAATATTTCATTACGTATGCCTGAAGGTCCAGCAGCTTTGTCTTTTGCTAAGCTAAAGAATTGAGCATCATTCATTATAAGTAGGAGGTTGTATGAGATTATCGTATATACTATCAGATACATGTTCCTTTGGCTGATACTGTAAGGTCCATTTACCATCTAAAGATCTCAGAAGCGTTGATGGTAAAGCATTATTATGGAAGTGATTGTTTGCAACTTTTTTAATTTTATCAGGATCTAAGGTGAAATGTTTAGAGTCATCATCATGATTGATAAAAACACGATTTAAAGTAACTTTTTTTTTTTGTAAAATAGAATCAATCATTCTACTAAGTTGAAATAGTAATTAATCACATTTTTTTTCAATGAGTATTTTGATCTGTGAATCAGTATTTTTCTTCGCATCAATTTTGGTAAGCTTATATAAGACTTTATAGATGCTATTAAGAAATTTTTTGACTTTTTTAACATTTGATAAATTAATAAAAAAAGGCAAGGGATCCAAGGGATATGAAATATCTTTGACATAGTAACAACAATATTTAGGTTGCACTTCTATTTATTACCAATAGGCCATAGATAAAGATGAGTGATGAAACTCAAAAAAGGCAATTAATAAACAGCCGAAACTATATTAAAACATAGTGAGAGGTACGACGAAACCCTGAAACCTGAAATTAGCTGAAACTATATTAAAAACATAGTAAAGAATATGACAAAATTATTTTGAGAGAGTTTTGGCTAGCATCTTTAGCTATAGACATTCTAATATTCTTTTAGAACAAAATTTTAAAAGAATCTTTTTAATTTTGGTAAGTGAAGAATAATAGTTTGAGAGCTCTTTTGGTTTAGACGTACGATCTTGTGAAGAAATCCATTTATGAGGGATTTTGGAATTACTAATGGCTAATACAGCTTGTTTTAATTCTATTTACAGATTATTCATATTGGTATGGTTAGGTTTAAAATCTTACAAATGATCAAAGTGGTAGTTGTTGTAATAGGTATTAGAATATTCAGCAAATCTTATCTAATTTAAGAAATTCATAGATTTAAGAAGAGGAACCTTTTTTAGTATTATTGATCCTTGAACGAGCTTGAGATTCATGCTGTATATTAGAAAAGTAAGTAATAAAAATCTCATGATCTGAATTATAGAGGTATGAATGAACTATATTACAATAGAACAAGTCAGAAATAAGATTCTGAGAAGCAAATATTGCATCAATTCGATTGGAAATATTTGATCTTTTGTATGTAAGTAAGGGTGTATCATAACATAAGTCATATAATTCCAAGAAATTTCTGAGTACTAGACCATATACAAGATCATACTTCCAAGAAATAGTTTTACCAGAATCAATGATACGTTGTAATTTGTTCAGATCTGCATTGAAATCACCCATGATGATAACATGAAAACCTGATTTTAAACTATTATCTATAAGCTGTAGTAATGTAGTTTGTAAGACTTTCATTTATTTAGATTCAATAGCATAGATGTAGATTGAGAAAACTCTTAATTTAATATTGCCTTTTAGATATAGATCCACGTAAATATAACGATCATTATCCAAGAATTTTTTCACAATATGTTTAGACCAAGATTTGCTGATAAGTAATCTAATACCTGAAAACTTATTAGAGATAGAACTTCACAGTGTATCAAAATTAGGGTCAGAAGAACATCTGTATAATTGTGATGACTAATGCCAAGTTTTAGACAAAGTAACAAAGTTAACGTTCTTTTGAAAAAATATATCAAGTATCTTGCTATTTTTAATATCATTTCGAAGAGAATGAATATTATGAGTAGCAAAGGTAAAAGTGTTTCTATTTAAGATTAAGCTTCTATTATCACTGTGTAAATTTTCTAAATCGTTATTTATGATAAGTGAAAATTGATCACGCAATGAATGTAAATTAGAAGGAGAGGGAACATTATTATTTGTCAGTAGAGAATAGTTGTTATTAATATTAATATCAGTAGGAGGCATGACGGGTAACAAAATATTATTCATTGTATTAATCATTTAAAGAATATAAATAAGGGATGTATCTAATTTTGAGATTGGCTAGCATTTATTGCAAATTATTCAATTTGTTTGAACATTCTGTCTATCTGTATTTTTTGTTCAGCAATAATGGCAGCTTGTTCATTCACCATATTGGTAAGGTCAGGTTTTGGGGTCAAAATTAATGAAGTTGAAGAATCATCACTTAAAGATCCAGTAATATGAGATCTTTTATTAGACGTATCTTGTGATCTTGGTGATTGTTGAAAAACGTGAAAAACAATTAAGGATCTTTTCCTTTATTGACACTAGTTGAAGGAATTACTGTAGATATAATTGAAGAAGAAGCCTGAAGAGATTCCAGCTTGGCAATTCTAGCATCCAGTTCATTCATATTATTTTTCATGCTAAAGAGAATTGAGAGAATCTGATCCAATTTATTATTAATATCATTATTTAGATTGTGAACAGAATCTTTCACAGTTGGTTTGATAATATCATTCTGTGGTAGAGGTAGAGGAGTATTCTTATTCTTGATGCCTCAGAATATGATTTAGAAGAATGGTTAGATCAATTAAAAGTCTTTATATCGAGTTATTTTAGGTAGTAAACTTAGGTTTTAGTTGATTTTCATTATCATTTGGTAAGGCAATCTTTTTCTGTAAATAGAGACATTGCATAACTAGATGTGCTGGATTACCACATTTGTAATAACTTCTTAGCATCAGGAGAATACCAAATCAATTGATTATTCTCAAAAGTGAAATGTTGTTGTGTTGCATGATTAGAGTTTCTTCACTTTCAAAATGTAAGATAAAGAAAGGACGAGGTTTGTAATTGTTAGATCTTAGGATATAACTAGCTCTAGCTTTGGTTGCAAGAATTATGTCATGAAGATTTCTTGCGATTGTTCTAAAAGGAAGGTTTATTAGTTTGATATGATGGGTGTTTCTATATTTAACGTCTTTTGAAGACATATTGCAAGGGTTGACACTAATAGAATCATTTTAGACAAATCAGCTTCATACTTGATAAAATAGTTCGATACATTTGGAATTTTTGTAAGTAATATAAGCATGTTATCACATGCCTCTTACTATTATTCTAAAATCTGTAACAGTCCTATATTTAGTGAAGACTTATTTAATGTTGGTTGGTTTCATTTGCAATGGAATGTCAGTAACATGAATAGTTCTTTATTGAATTGCATATTAGCTTTATATTGGGTAAAATCACAGAAAGAATTGATCTTCAGATCAGGGATGGTCACATAAAGAGCTGCGGCAGCTGCGTCTGATATCATGAAATAGACAATTACATAATATGTCAAATTTATGCGACAGACAAATATTCCTTTAAAGTCATTATTTTGAGCGAAAATATTGTTGATAGCAAGGATGATTTTGCTGTTATTCTTTTCTTTGAAGTAAACTTGATACTATTAGCAATTGCAAAGGGGGTAGCTTTGGTAATAACAGTAAAATCTTTCAAATCTTCTTTCATATCATTATCTTCAAAATATTCATTAGTGTCCAAAAGTTTTGACCTATTTTTAGATGAAGAAGAGTTTTTAGAGATATTATCAACTTTTATGTTATTATTATTGTTGTTATTCAAGGGTGAAATAACTGGTGAAATTTTGTTGATAGCGGCAATTTTAGATATGTCAAAAACTTCAAAATCCATTTCTTTATTTGGTAATAAGCCAAAAACTTCTTAAACAATTTCTAAATCAAGGTTTGTGGGAACTGAAGTTGAGGTTGAATAAGACGAAGGATCTGAAGTAAAACTAGCAGCTTCCTTTGAAGCTTTTGGAGCTATGTATAGAATGAACTTGGAGTCACTATTTTTTTGTTTCACAGCGCTTTTACTCGTCATAACTCTCTTACATAAGATAGAAGGTAGTGTAAAACAAAAGAAACCTTCTTTATACTGGATTTATTAATTTTGTTAAAAACGAACTTTTAAAATTTATTATTTTTTTTTTCTATGAAAATTTTTGGTTTTGTAAAATAGGGAAGAGAGTTTTTTTTTATTCCAATTATTAAATAAATTGAATTTAATGTATATCTTGATATTAATCACACATTATATGACGAATACTATAAAAGAAAATTATATACAAAGGTTACATGAAGCGAATTGGAACTTAAATTAAAGCTAAAAATGACGTTAACAATGCTATAGAATTCTTTTTATATACTTATATATTAAAAAAATTTATAGCCTCATAATTAATTAAGTCATCTAAAATTAATTATCATTCCTGTAATTAATTACGTCTACAAGTATTAATTACTACCCATAATTAATTACATTTCGCAATATTAATTACTATCTACGTAATTAATTACATTTATAAGTATAATTACCACCCTTGTAATAATTATGTCCCCCGTAATTAATTACCACTCCCATAATTAATTTCGCAATTATGTTTTTTTAAAAAAATATAGTAATTAATTACCATAATTTCGTATTACGTATATACTTAATTAAGATAATTACTATGCTAATTATAGCTTCAATAAAAACTTTTTTCAACTGTTGTTCAACAATTATAGGATTAGTTATATCAGGTTCTTTTACTAAAGGATCTTATGTAATAGTAGGATTTATATTAATAAGACTAATTGGCATTAATTCCTTCATGTATATATTAATTTCTTGACAAATTTGCGAAATAGCATATTCTCATGGTAATTTTGATTCTATAGCTGCAAAATCGTGATATGCATTATGTGAAACTTTCTCTATATCTAGCATATAAACTACGTATTGTAATCTTTGTTTTTTTAAAAGTATCTTCTCCAAATGATACATGAATATCTTTACTTTGTACAGTAAAATCCAAAGTTTTCAAAACAACACAATCTTTGAGATTATAACGTTTTTAACTGGCATTTCAAAATGTATTTGTTTTCTTTTTGCTAGTATTCTGCATGAATCAGATCAGATTGGATTTGGGCAAAATCCAATTCAATCCAAATCTGAACAATCCAAATTTGAATTAATTTGAATCTGCAAATCTAAATCTGATTCGATCAGAATCAAACAAATTTGAATCTGAATCTATATCTGAATCTATATCCATATCTGACAGATCAAAAAATTTTTTTTAATAAAAATCCACCTCTGATATTTGGAATGACGTTTTAATATTTAAAAAACAACAATTTTGTTGTTTTTAACAAAAATCATCTTCTAAAGTACAGAATGGTGTTTTAATAGTAAAAAAATAACAATTTTGTTATTTTTTAACAAAATTTACCTTCAATATTCAGATCAGTATTTTATTATATAAAATTAAATTTTTATTAATAAATGCTATGTCTGACTTTCAGGATGGCATTATAATATAAAAAATTATTTTTTATTATTTTTTTATTAATAAATATCACATTCAACTTTCGAAATAATATTTTAATATAAAAAATTAATAAAAATTAATTTTTTTATTAATAAATCTTGCGTCTGACTTTTGGGGCAGCATTTTATTATTATAAATTAATTTTTTTAATTATAAATGCTATATCTGATTTTCAGGATTGTATGTTGTTATTAAAAATTAATAAAAATTTTAATTTTTATTAATAAATATTATGTTTAACTTTCAGGGTGATATTTTAATATAAAAAATTAATAAAAATTAATTTTTTAATAATAAATATTGTGTCTGACTTTTGAGATGACATTTTATTATAAAAAATTAATTTTTATTAATTTTTTATTAATAAATACTGCATCTGACACTGGTCGAATGATGACAAATAGGAATCAAATCAGATTCCAATAGCCCATTTTATTAGGCTCTGATAAGATACCAATTAGAGAACATTGAATTATATGTATAGTTGCTGATTGTGATCAATTATTAGCATCATTCAGCATAAAATTATTTACCAATTAGAAATACTAATCAGGATACCAACCAGCTTAACATCAGATTATAATATAACCATATTATTTTTGTCTTTTCAACCATTAAAAATATAGCCGATTGATATTTAATTTTTCATATGATATTAATAAATAAATCAAATTAACTGTGATCGTATATATGGATTATTGCTTAATACAAAATAAATTATATTCAGAAATGATTTTATTTGTTCAATTTAATTGCATTTCAAATTAAAAGTAATATGATATATGATATATACTATATATGTAATAAAATTCGCTAAATTATATTTATAATTTAATGCTAATGTAAAATAAATCCAGTAGCATCTTGATAATAATAAATGTTAAATATATATAAAAATGCAAGTTGTTTAACCATCAACCAGTTTACTCAGAAGAATTTTTACTGATCTTTTTCTACAGGCTATTTTAACTTCATTCTTCAAAGAACCTTGGTAATCTCTAACCGTTTCATTTTAGAATATGAAATGATGCTATTTGTTCTTTATTATAGAAGTTATTGGTATTGTAAACTCAGGTATGTTTTTTTGGAACCTTAGAAGTTTCTGCAAATACTTGATCAATAAAATCTCTTAGAAATAATTGAAGCTGTAATAAAATTATTAATATATGCCATTTGATATCAAAAGATCGATTATTTCATAAACTTACAGTAGACAAATACTACTTTAGGTCCTTAACAATAATCTTATGTTTTTCATTAGGATTTTCTACATCTGATTTTGAAACTTCTGGTAAATAATATGTCAAATCTTTATTGATTTGTTAAAGTTCACATTTTTTAAAATTTTGGATTAAAGGATCACTAATCATTTGTAATTTCTCTATCATTCCGGCTCTTGTCACCCGTTTCTATAATTAATGATAGAAAAATTAATTAGTTATTGAAACAAATATTATATATAATGTTACTTACCTCATTTCTGCGACAGATCATATGTTTATGTCGAGCATTCTTATCTTGAAACTCTTATAATCATGATTTTTTCAGATGTTCTTCACGTTGATGTTTGTAGCAAGCGTAAATCATTTTATATATGATAGCTTCAGTGACTGGAAAGGTTTTAAAGTCCAAAGCTGACTTTACAGTTGGTATAATTGTATTATTGATGAGGATACGTTGTGAATCAAAAGTATGATTCAAATCCAACCGACTTTCAGAAGGGATCCTTTTAATTATCTAAAATACTTCTCTTTAAAATTATATTAATTGTATCAATAAAATTTATCATTATAAATCAAATCAAATAAATTAATTTACTTACCTTCAAAGCATCCTTAAATTCTTCAGGCATGTCTTCAAAGAATAAATATTTTGGAATCCTACAATAGATGGAGGAAGATCTTTGATCAGAATCAGAATATCTATGATCAGATTCAGAATATCTATAACCGAATTCAGAATATTTACGATTAGATTTAGAATATTTATAATTAGGTTTAGAGTAACTTCGATCTGATTCAGACCTTTAGTTGAATTTGGAGAACTTTCGATCGGATTCACTTTCAGAATCGAAAAATCTCGACCTGAATCAGTGATGTTTTTCATATTTTTTGATCTTTATCATTTCTGATATCTCCACTTTTAGTGTTAGTATTAGTGTTAGTATCAGCGTTAATGTTAATGTTAGTATCAGTGTTAGAGTCAGTATAATTATTATTATACTTATAATTTTGATATGATAATATAGGTAATAAGCTGCTCAACACATTAATTTTTAGAATTCGTATTGGTCTTGGAGTGATAGGTTTTGAAGATATAATAGGAATATTATTTATGTCTTTCATTTAAAGAGAAATCCAGAGTTTTAAAGTGAAAACGATCTTTAATATTAGAATTCGATTTTTGTGGCATATCCTCCAATGTTTTAAATGAAGTTGAAAGTCCTGCTTCGATATTTTAGATGTACTGATAACAGACTTTCTAATTTTTTCTTGATTTTGAGCTGGAATAACCTCGATTGATGATCTTTCCTTTTCCATCGTAATTTTGAAATTAGCCTCTTTAAGCTTTTCTCGTTTAATCATTTCTTTTAAATACTAGACTCCTTCAGATAATGCAACTATTATAGTTAAAGTAAATAAATCGATATATTATGATCTTTGTATTATCAACAATACAATTGATAATACTTTAAACTTATTTAGATCTTGTTCTTCATAACTATGTGATCATTTATTATACTTATTTGATGATGGATTTTCAAATAATAATGAATTAGCTGAATCTGTATTCTCAAAAGATAAATCATAAGATGGATATTGATAGTGGTAAGAACGCTTATATTTACTTTATTATTGTATTACAGGAAATAATAAAAAAATGTTTTAAGTAAATTATTGTTTATTAAAATTATCTTACCGGTTTCTATTATACTGTTTTATTTCTTCATGATGGCTTCTACCCCTGTTGTAATCAAAAAAAACAGTTACTTTTTCGCTCATTACTTCCTGAGTGACTTCTACCCCTGCTGTAATTGGAAGAATGATCATAATTTCTCTTTTATTCATTACTTCTTGAAAAACTTCTATCCCTACTATAATCAGAAGAACGGTTATGGTTTTTCTTTTGCTTATTACTTCTTTGAAAAATTTCTATCTCTACTATAACTAGAAGAATAATTATGGTTTTTACAAGTCATGTTTGTTGATACATGAAAAAGTAAAACAGATCAGGAAACAGATTCAGAGACCTTTTATATTTACAGTAGATATTAAAAGTAGTTTATTTAATTTACAAAATTACATCACAAAATTTTTCTGAAGTTTATAAGTTGATTAATAAACTACATGAACTATTTACATCATATTGAGCCACATACCATTGTTATTGACTTCTCTTGTATTATCACATCAAAAAATATTACGTTAGCCTACATTAAGATCTTTGCATATTACTGATCCATAATTCTGACTATTTCATAACATTTTTTTTAATATTGATCAAACTTGTTGATTTATAATATTAAGATAATTTTAAATAATTTAAAATAGAAAATTTTGAACTATCAAATTTAAGCCGACATTAGGTATAAATTTGGTTAGAATTCGGTCAATAAAGATTATGAAATATTATAAAAAATATCATTTTATTATAAGTATTATATAATCAAGTTATAATCAAACGAATTCTGAATTCTAGAACTATGTAGTTTATAAGTAACTATTTTAAAATATCAGAGTGAACATAAAACTTTAACTAAACTTTATATGAATGCATATATATATACGCGTTATATTTTATGTGATATTTTAAACATATACTAACTCGTTCTTGTATTCACAAATGAAATAAAAATCCGATGTCTTCTAAATTTATTAAACCTACTAGAGTTAGACCAAAAGTACAATGTTATTGTAAAAAATGTAATGGCAAACTTGTTGAAACAAGAACAAGAAAAAGTCATGAAATGGATGATAATCGACTTCAAACTTCTATATATGAAATAAAGAAAGGCAATGAAAAGTAAACATTCTAGCCAATTTAAGGA